AGATTGCTTAAGTCATCTGCAACAGCAAAAAAATGATTTATAACTCAAAAGGTAAATAATATGCTATATATTTTCTAGATCATGAATAGTAGCTTATATATTTTTACCATTCACGACTCTGGTGCTCTCCGCCATTTAGAAAAGTTCAAAGGTTATCTCATCTCGGCAACTCGTCCATCAAAATATTCTACGAGTTGCCCAGTGGAAAATACCACATGAGGGGGTGTTCATGTGCATTTTCCACGTCGGCTTTTGGTATTTACCATAATTACCATAGCACATGAACGCAGCATGTTTCCATGGACACTGATCACCTCCCGCACAGCTGCCTGTCATTCTGTAATCACCTTCACTGTGTATTTAAGTTCCTGCCTGTCTTCACTTCAGTGTCCGGTATTGTTTGTGTTTTACACGCTGTCGCACCTGTGTTCCTGTTCCTGAGTTTCGCTACATTAAAGAAAGTGTTATTTCTATCTGCTTCTCCGTCATCCTTCTTCCGCCTCCGTGACACCTACCAGAATTGACCCTAATTTGTTTTTTATTTGCGTTTGTGTATCGTTTTTTTCATTTTAGATTAGTAGTTGTTTAGATTTCCTTTTTTTTTTTTTTTTTTTTTTTCAAAAGCCCAGGCATGCGTACAGCCCTACAAAATGGTGTGTAAAACAAATTCAAAAGGGGAAAAAAAATAATAATAAATCGGCTCCATGGCAGATTACAAGTGATCAAGGGCTTAGGGTGTTCCATTTAAACACACTAGTGGGCCCTCGTGCAATTTAAGTAATGATGTACATTCGAGACAGAGGGACGTTAGCGAGGGAAAGGTATGAAAAATTAAACTCAAAAGCAGCCGTAAATGGCTCTCTTTATAAATGGGTTCAACAACAGTTCTTCCATGGCTTTATAATATTTTAAGTTGCAAAATAGAGCAAAAACAGACGATATGAACTTATTTATTGTTCTGTTGTATAACATCAATATAACATTTGCACTCGTGCTATTCGGGACAAAAAGATATTGTGCCCATTCCTCATGTGATAATGCTTGCTATATAAATATGAGACAAAAACTCCTGCAGTGAGGATATCGTGCAGGCATTAACTATATTGCATAGGCTACATCACCACACAGTAAGTAGCACACACACCAAACAACTGCATGAAATCTAAGATGACCTGCATAGGTCTTTAAATGTATTGAATCAGTTTATCATATCATAACACTTTTAGGCTGCCATTTTTGGTTGTATGTTAAAAAATGTAAAGAACCTTGGCCACTATGCAAATTATTCAGAGAAGATTACATCTCATCCACCCACCTATTTATAGGCTGATAGAAAATCTCACTTTGAGACTGATATTCAATCTCTTATTTCCTGGATGGCTGCCAGATCTCAGATGTTCTCTGATGGTCCATCCTGACATTTCACAGATAATCCTGTTGTGTCATTTTCTTTACAGCTCTACAGTGTAATGTTTAATTTATGGCTTCAATACACGCTGCACATAATAGCAGTCGGTCTCTGCAGAGACAATGGGAACTTGTGTGGCATTCTTTCTAATGTCCCCAATGCTTTTTCACTTCATTTCCAGATGGAGATAATGCTTAATGAAAAGTTTAATGAGAATCTTCTCTGCCATTCGACTTTTTGTCACTCTACAGCTCCTCATCAGCCATAGATTTCAATTTAATTGTCAGCCACTGACGTTTATGGGAGCAAACGGCACTCCGTATTCATTTTAATAGTTGCCATTCACAACAACACGCCATGTATTACACATTATAGCTATGTAACACTCTTATGTGAACTGCAGTCTAGTAATATATATGTTTTCAGACAGTGGGCAGGAGGTAACACAAGTTATATTCTGAATCATTTCTCCATCTTTTTCTATGTATTTATTATGTTTTCATTACATTATACAAATATTTTTTCCTGGGTTATGGTTATTATGAATTAATTCCTTAATTATATACCCTCCTTTTTAATATTAAACATATATAACCAATGTTCTTAGGTAAATCGGACATAGCATCATGTAGTTCAGTTGATGTTTTAATATTTTAACACAATAAATAAATAAATAAAGAAACATCTGAAAGTGTTAAATACTGAGGGAGTTGACAAAAACGTTGCAAAGGTCCAATTGAGGTTACAACAACCATTTGAACAAGACATCTAGTTAATTTTTAGGCTAATATTTAAATAATACAACAATCCTTCCAGTCGTTTGCTTTTTTTCTTTTAGCGGTACAGTACGCCTCCAGTAGCTCGCAGAATACAAAAAGTCAATGTTAGGTTGAGTGTAATGATAAGCATTATTATGTGTCGCCCTGTGGCAGCAACTAAAGGATCTGGAAACTGCATCAATTACGTGCACTTATTTGTGCTGACCTGCATGATTTAAGCAGTGGGGAAACCAGTTGACAAAACTGATTATTTTTCCACCTTATCCACATGTTGTGGAGTGGAACAATTAGTTTTTTCCTCAGTTGTAGCTGCCTTAATAAACATATAAAAATGACAAATCATCATTTTGGAATAATTAAGGTTTTTAATGTTTAAAAGAAGTCATTTATTTTCCCCTAGGCTGCTTTTATTTAATTAAAAATACAATAAAAACTGTAATATTAAAGAACAATTGGCGAAACCTTTGAGAACATATTGCCCATAGTATTTTCTGAATGTTATTGTGGTTTCAGAGTAACATATTTCCAATAGGGTGTTTACTCGCCTTCCCTTGTGTTGACACTCGTCAGATATATGGATGTATCTTTTTACCCTATGACAATTTGCGCATTGGCATACATCCCAGTGCTGAGAGCTTTCATTTTAAAATGAAATCAACTAAAACACTTTACAAAATAAAGTGGTATACACCTGTATAATAAATGCGCCTGTCCTTGAAACACTCTCAGATGTCCAGCTCACTTTCAAATCACATTTGTAAAGCAGATGTTTTGAGACCAGACCACCAGATACATTACATTATAGTTAAATGTATAGCTTTGCTACCATAGCAGAGCCACCATGAGTAGAGCCCAATATCTGTATTTGTAACAATCTCAAAATTATTTGTATCTGTATTGGGATAAATCCAGAAATGGCTTGGGCTTTAGTCGAAAGATTGTGAAATTAAATGACTAGCTGGCTTTAAATGGAATTCTGTTACCTTCCTAGTTTTCATTGGACAAATATGCTTTGCACAACTCATATACAGTATATTATAGTTATAAAAATCATTTAAATGTTTTAATTAAACTATAATACTACATGTTAAACACAAGGGAATTATCATTATTATATTATTAATATTTTTATTGGGGACATTGTGTAGATACAGTATCTGGACAATCATCCACAACATGGAAGTTTAAACCAAATAGTGGCAAAACATTTTAATTAATAAATAAATAATAAACATTGTTTACTATGCATACAAATGCAAATCTGAACAAATTATAAAGAATACATAAATGCTTGTCTCAGAGAGAGAGAGAGAGTGAGACAAACAAACATGTCATTTATCATATCGTACAAAATAAAGATATCAAGTAGAAAATGTGTATGATGTAGATTTCAACTTTTGGCTTGCTTAGTTGGATACAGGGATACTTAGTTGGATGCAGTCAAATTGAATTCTGTTTGCATTGTTGAATTAATATTTTCCTGTTCATCACTGAAAAACTGCAATGAAATGATCTATATTGTATAAATCACTAAAAAAAGGTGACTTGACCATAATATCATGCTATCATATCACCTAGCTCACCTGTTATCTAGTAAACACGAAGGGTGATTGTGTCTATCGAATATTTTCCAGATTATTCAGTAGAATGGATTATTCATTTTGAAGCAATTATCCGTGCCTTTCCCAATGATGTATTTGGCTTCAGTCACTTCCCAAGTAGTAACCAGGGAGGCCCAGTGTTTGGGTGGGTAGTGCTGTCACTTCACAGCAGGAATGTCCTGCTTTGAGACCTTTCTGTGTGGAATTTCACTTTTGTGTGGGTTGGTGTTCTGGTTTCTATTGTTGTTTGCCATATTGATGATGATGATTGATGATGGATGAGACCTGAACTGAGCTGGATGATGAAATTATGGTTTTCTTCAGAGCTGTTTTATAGATGAATCTCATTCCGTAACTGATAAACTTTACACAGTTATTGAACCGAAATGAATCAGCACTGAACTGATTTCACCTGAATACTGACATTATTTATTAATGTCTTTTTAGAGCTGACACTTTTTTTTTTCCTTTTTAGTTAAATTGAACTCTGTTTGCATCTTTGAATCATTATTTACCTGTTCATCACCGAAAAGCTGCTTTGAAACAATCTATGGAAGTGTTTGGAACACTTGAATTATCTGATTTGGAAGTGTGTCCCAATACGGGTAAAGACTGAACTTCAAGTGTGAATGAGATTTGACAGTTATGGCAGATGGGATTTCAGTGCTCTTTTTCTCACACAAAGATATGTGAAAACTTTGGAGTCATATGGACTGCTTTTAATTTCAGTGTATTGAAAAAAGCAACTATATCTTTCTGCTGCATAAACTCAAAACAGGCTTTGAATGATATGGGGAGTAAATGATAACAACATTTATATTTTGAACTATTCCTTTTAAATACATTGGTTCTCAGCAAGTGCATTATTTTGTACAGTGAGCTCCCGGCTACCAAGGGAATGATGCCATCTAAATTAAAAAGACATTTTAGAAACCAAACACTCAGACAACAAAGAGACAAAAAAAATCCATTAATTATAATGTATAACATTCATACTTAATGACAATTTAATTATTGTGTATATTAATACATTTCAGTGTTTCATTCCATGGACTGTTTCCGGTTTAAAACTAGTCCCAGTCACTGCTTGTCAGCGTTTAAAATATATTAGCTAAATCAACTTTAATAGATTACTCTGGATTTTCTGTAATCTGGACCACAACAGGTGATGCTTGCATCACTGATCTAACACTTATCAATTTTCGTTCTTAGGTGTCACAACTGTCCTGACTATGACCACGCTGAGTATAAGTGCCCGGAACTCGCTTCCCAAGGTGGCCTATGCAACAGCCATGGACTGGTTTATGGCAGTGTGCTATGCCTTTGTCTTCTCTGCTCTCATTGAGTTTGCCACCGTCAACTACTTCACAAAGCGCAGCTGGGCCTGGGATGGCCAGAAGGAGGCCCAGGAGATGCGGGTAAGATAGACCATTTAATACGTTGGAGTAGGATGTCACAATGCTGTAAAAGGACAGTACTTCCCGTACACTTGAGTAGTATTGTCAAAAAACTCGGTACTTCGGTACCAAGTTGGTACTAAAAAAAAAAAAAAATTTGCGGTACCAGCTTTTCTAGGTACCGAATACCAGGTTAATCCAGTTCTAGACGCGCTGTCTGAAAGGTGCACAGTTGTGTCCTCTTCATAACGCTGATATGGCTCTCTCTCTGAATCCACTTGTTGACACAAAAGGAGGAAAGAGCCACATATGGAAATATTTTGGATTAGGCTAATGTCACGTTGGCATAAGAGGCCGATTACATGCAAATTCGCAATTTCAAATATAGGCGCGAGGCAAGCGCGCTCATAATAAAAACTCGTTGCATAGCAACGACAGACGCCGCGTGAGAGCAAGCGCTTTGGAAAGAATAAGCACGCGCAAAAATATAATAAAAAAAAACACGCACGATATGTGAACAGCCTCTGAAGTGCTTTCGGGGTAGTTTTACGAGTACATGAGCACAGTAGTATCCAACCGACACCAGAGTACTGGTATTAGTATCGATGCATCCCTATTTATATCATTTAATGTCAGTGCCAGTTCTAGGCTTATTCTTGCCTTTATAACTCAGCAGGTTTCAAAATTAAATATGAATGCAGTTTTAGATTAAATAAAAGTACAGTCAAATCAAATAAAACATGTTTTTTCTCCTGTATAGTTTGGTAATGCTACAATAAGATACCATTTATCAACATTAGCTACTTAATTCACATCAACACATTGAGTGAACAATATATTTTTACAACATTAATTAATGTTTGTAAATGTTATTTAATAGAAACACTTGATTGTTCATGTTTGTTCACTTCATTCATTGTGCATTAAATAAATGTTAACGGATTAGAACTTTACAAACAACTTTAAAAATGTGTTAGTGTATACTATTGTTTATTTTAGGTCATTTTATCTATTTTTTTTCTAAAGTGTTTATAATACAAATGTACAGTTTCCATACTTGTAACCGTGATAAACACTTAAATATATGTAAATTTAAACTAAGCTTTGGTACCGAAATTGGTACCGAGAACCGTGAATTTTTACTGGTACCGAATACTGAAATTTCGGTACCGTGACAACACTACACTTGAGTGCGTATGTTCTTTTAAGATCTTGTCTTTGAGTTTATGGGTGCGCTATAGGTTTGCCACCAATTCCTTAAAATACGGAATCGTGAATGGGTATCTCTTATTTTACCACACTAAAGGTAACAACCCTAGTGCTCTATCATTTGAAAAAATCATCTGAAAGAATATTCAAAATTGCAGTAAGCTTTACATTTAAGCTTGTGTATTGTATAGTATTTCTCAGCGTAATCAATCACGGTTTCAATTTCCATTGCCTATTTTTTATAGGTTTCCCTAGAGACAATAAGCAATAAATATTCAGCATATAAATCCTAAACTAACATAGGCTTCTTGTTAGCAAGCTTGTCACTATTGTAATTTTTCATCGAGGTTGTTCCCGCTCAATAAGTTTAAGGGCTGCCAGCCATCTCTTTTTTTTTTCTCCCACCGCTTTTGCTTGCTCTTGATTATTGCCACCCTCTGTCCTGGCCCTGATAACCTCTGAGAAATGAAGTGCTTAGAGCTAATGCATGTGAATTGCTGCAGAGAAAGCTCAGCGAGGTGCTGCATTGCTCACAGTATGAGGAGATATTGCACCTGGGAATCACTAATGTAAATTCCTGTTTCGCCCTCTTGTTGTAACCCATGCTTAATCTGTCGAGAAACACTTTACTTCTTCATTTACTGTTCAATAGAATAGAAATGTTGTGTTTCTACAGAAAGCGTTGAGAACAGCTGCAGAGTCTCTCCGAAAAGAGTACAATGCAAAACTGATAGCACGCATAGGCTTGGACAATGGAAGTTAAAGAATTAAGTAAAAAAGTGACATGTATAACAATGTATATTACAATGTATAATATGGTTGAAAAACTTTTTCTAACAAAATTTAGTTGAATAAATGCTCATTTTCACAACCCATTCCTATATGGAAGTTTGGGGGAATTTTTACAAAATGTTTAGTTTCAACGTGATCTCATGAGAATACGTATGTATTTGTACGTAAAGTGTCGTTCTATCATACGTATATTTAATTACGTTTTATATGCGCAGAAACGTATAATACTGACATATTTACAGTACTAAAACGTAAAACATTTACGTATTGACAGAACAAAAACGTAATTTATTTACGTATGAACAAATCCACCGACGTACACATTGTACGTATCACAATTTATGCATATTAATATCGTAGCATTATGTTTTGACTATTATATTGCGTTCCACTGTTTTATTAATGAAGTTTTCAGTCGCATTTATTGATACAATACTCATAAATATTAACATTTTACTCGTTTCGCCTGCATGGTATTAAACAATACACTATAAAACCTTAAAAATACATTCTTTAACGTTACTCGTTCAACCATTTTGTAATAGTTTATTTACCTTGAGACACATAAAGCGTTTTCTCCTATAAAACACAGCAAAAATTCACAAAAGACATCAATTTTATTAGTTTGATGTAATCCAAATCTTTAGAATCCATAGTTGTTTGCAAGAAACAACTGCTAATTCAGCCTCTTATCCAGTCGTGATCTGCGACCGTACATGTCAAACCCGGGTCAAACCCTGGTGATAAATTCAAATTAAAAAATTCAAATTCAAAAAAAGCGATACGTCATCTTTTGCGGCAGTGATATCAAACGTTCATTGGCTCTTCCCTGCTTCGTCACAGTTTGCGACATGAAGGACTGTGACGGTTGGTTAGTTTAGTTCATTTGAAATGGAGAAGCGCAAACCGAAGCCGGATTAACGTTTTCATTAGTAATTTAATTTCTGCTCTGTACTTCATACAAAACTATTACAATACTGCCAGAGAGACTGCGACTGCAACGCTTCATCATGTGAACGGCTTTTGGTATCGGTTTTGACATTTTGCAATAAATAAATTATTGTGATTATACTTGTCTGTTAGTTATGTTTTTCTTCATAATTGTAGTTTGTTACGTTGTTTTAAGGAATTGTTATGGGTAGGTTTAGTTCTTTCCCTTTCCCAACACCTGTCCGTTACGTTTTATCATATTTTTTATATTAAGTATAAAATGGGTATTTTTAGGTTTGGGATTAGGGTTACGGGATCTTACATTTATCTATAAAATGGTAAAAAGGGAAATTATACAGATATCTTTATGATATAGAATATACGCAAATAGTTTACGTTTTGTAGCTGTAAAAACGTAATAATGTTACGTTTAAATGTTGCAGATACGTCTATATTGTACGTTTCTATCCAAACGTACTAAAAAGTACGTTTTCTATCTTTGCAAAAACGTAAAATACCTACGTATTAACAATGAGACCAGGCTGTTAGTTTACGACTAGGGGTGCTCCGGTTGATCGGCTATCGGCTGACAATCACTTCTAAGTACTCGATCGGCAATCTCTCAATTTGCCAATCGTGAACTTGAGAGGAATGGCAAGACTTGCAGTGGTGTCATCTCAATCTCTGTCAGCGCAGGAAAAATAATTCTAATACTGAAGGCGAGGTACACTTCATACATCTTTAGTAAATAAATCAGTAATTTGAAAATTTTCTGTGAGAAGTTATTTCACGAATGGCTCTCTCTCTCTCTCTTTAAATCTGCAAATGGCTTCACATCACTACATCACACACTACATAAACAAACTGCACACTGGACAGTTGGCGAAATTGTAATTTTTTTAACCATTCGCACGCTCTCTGAGAGACGGGGCACTCATGCACGCTCAAAGCGTGCACACATAAAGCCTTACAGCTCAGTGATCAAAATGCTCTGTAATAGTAAAGTATACACATGTACAAAATGACTGTCCTGCCGAGTTTTCACGTAAACACAGTCGGTTATGTCTTAAATAAAAGTAAACAGGGGGACTTTCAAACGGAGCGTGATTAAACGGTGTGAATGTAAGTCACGATGATGAAATAATAGGTCCCTATGGAGCTATACACACTGGGCGCGATCTATTGCAGCGTGACAAAGCGAGTTTTTTTTTTTTCCCGGAAGGGAGAAGAGAATGGATTTTGAGTGTTATCACTGGTGTCTGAGAACAGATTTATTCTTATTCCACTTTCTTTATATAGATTATCATTTCTATTCATGTTCCACTGCATTATGCAATCTGAAGAGCTTGAAATGGCAAAGAGAGCTGTTTTCTTACATGCGTGTCTATTATAAATCAGAGAGTTAATTCGTTCTAGAGCTGTCAATCATATTATGTGATCATAAATCCGGCTCTTCCGATGTACGACGTTGAGTTTATTTCCTCGTTCTGATTTCCACACATAAACAACCAAGAGAAACATTTCTACAAATGAAACATGAAGCCAAATAAATATATGATTATAAGATGATATATGTTCTGTATGTTTTTTTTTTCATGCTGCTCAGGGTATTTTTACAACAGTGAAGAATGAGAAATGCTTAGCAGGTGTAGCATTCAGTTTACTATAAAAAACTACATATAAAGCACATCTATTCATTATTCAATCAAAATACACTTTTGAAGATCGCTGTCGGAAGTTATTACATGAACCCGATGATGGTGTCTGTGTTGTGCCAAACTTTACTTATCTAATTTACCATTGTATATTGTGCAGCAGTCAAGGTTAAATCCAAAGGGGAAAACCTACAGGATACATACCTGTGGAAAAACGTTGTTCAAATATGTGTTTAGCGCCACCTATTGTGCTGGCGTGAACTAGCTGAAATAAATCAATAATTTAGCATTTCTTGTGAAAGCTCCTCACTTTGTGCACAGGGTGAAAGAGCCGTGACAGTATATTGGATCTGTGCATACATTCTTAAAGTGACAGCAGCCTAATAAACCTGTTGCCGTTTGTGTCATTGATGCTAATCAAACAACAAAAGATCT